ATCCATCCATCCATCCATCCATCCATCCATCCATCCATCCATCCATCATCTTCCACTTGTTCCGAAGTCGGGTCATAGAGGCAGCAGCTTGAGCAAGGAGGCCCAGACATCTCTTTCCACAGCCACCTCTTCCAGCTCTTCTGGGAGGACCCCAAGGCATTCCCAGGTCAACCAAGAGACATAGTCTGTACATTGTGACCTGGGTCTTCCTCCTGGATCTGAGGTTCAACCATCAATCTGCCTCACTTCTCCAGTACCCCTGAATAGACTTTACCAGGTAGGCTAAGGAGAGTTATGCCCCTATAATTGGAGCACATCCTCCGGTCCCTCTTTTTGAATAGGGGAACCATCATCCCAGTCTGACAATCCAATGGCACTGCCAACAAGGACTGATAGGATTCTTTCTTCAACTTGACAGCCTCCCTAACCTGGGATTTCCACCACCGAGTTTGAGGGTGGCCACCGCAAGAAACACCGACAACCTTGCAGCCACAGCTCAAAGCAGCCACTTCAACAACTGAGCTGTGGATCATGGCCCACTCTTACTCAATGTCCCCCACTTCAGCTGGGATGCAGTTAAAGCTCTCCTGAGGTGCGAGTTGAAGATCTTTCTGAAGGGTTCTTCTGCCAGGCGTTCCCATTAAACCTTCACCAAGCGTTTGGCTCTACCAGGTCTGTCCGGAATCTTCCCCAGCCATCTGATCCAATCCACTACCAGGTGGTGATCAGTTGACAGCTCATTTCCTCTCTTCACCAGAGTGTCCAAAACAAACAACATCAAATCAGATAACACGACTACAAAGTCAATCAATCTTGAAAATGAGTTCTCATGGCTCAAATGAGACTACCTGTATAAATAAAGGGTAAATGAAGAAAAAAAAAAGCATGGCTCTATGACCTAGAGCGTCCTTGTGCCAAGTTCACTTATGAACACCCTTATGTTCAAACATGGTGTCTGTGATGGACAAACTATGACTAGTGCATTCATCCATCCAGCCATCCATCCATTATCTTCTGCTTATTCCGAAGTCGGGTTGCGGGGACAGCAGCTTGAGCAGGGAGGCCCAGACATCCCTTTCCACAGCCACCTCTTCCAGCTCTTCCAAGGCATTCCCAGGCCAACCGAGAGACAGTCTCTCTAGCGTGTCCTGAGTCTTACCCTGGATTTTTATGAACAAAACAAAACAAGGAACTCAGTGTCCCTTACCTGGACGTGGGTTAACGGGGCCCCACCCTGGAGCCAGGCCTGGGGGAGGGGCTCATCGGGGAGCACCTGATGACCAGATCTCTACCCATGGGGCCCGGTAGGGCTCAGCCCGAAGGAGCAGCATGGGTTTGCCTTCCTGTGGACCCACCACCTGCAGAAAGGGCCATAAAAGTCAGATGCATGATGCTATGGGCAGTGGCCGAAGGCAGTGGCCGAAGGCAGTGGCTGAAGGCAGTGGCCGAAGGCAGTGGCCGAAAGCGGGGACCTTGGCGCTCTGACCCTGGTTTACTAAAGCAGACTAGCGCATTCCTTCAACCTTTTACAGAAGTCCAACAACAGAACACCAGTCAAGTTCAGATCAGAGAGACCATTTTACCGTTACCATCCCCAATAACCCAAATCTGGGCAAGGGACACTGAGCTCCTTGATTTTTACTGTGCATAAGAGTCTTCTGAATTGCTCTTTTTCTGGCCTGTCACCTAGAACCAGTCTGCCTTGGGAGACCCTACTCGGGACAATCACAATTGTCCCTGACAGCATAGCACCTAGGACCATTCAGGCACACAAACTCCTCCGCCACGATAAGGTGGCGATTCAGTAAATTTAAGACATGAAATTAAAATTTAAATAAAGGTCATATTTTTGACAGGCTGGTCATAATTCAGTCATAGAATCTCATATTTGTTTTTCAAAGGGTCAAAAACGGTCTTCCATAAGCCACTGACTCATATCCATTTGATTTTTAATTCAAGCTGGCTTTATTTCCAACCAGTGCGTACTTTGTAGGAGTCATCAGAGTGTCTTTGTTTTGTTTGTAGCACAGCTGGAATCTAACCATAGACCTGCTCATCAGTGCAGAAGGGATCAGTCAACAAACCGAGAACTCCGCCGTGAGTCTAAACTTTCTCTTCCTCTTTGTTTTTAGAGTTTGGCTCACAACCTCTGTGGGTTTATCTAGTTTTAATTTGTTTTTTTTTTAACTCCTCTGTAGCCCATCTGTCTGGCCAAGTTCTCTCAGGTACGAAGCATCTCCAGTGCTGCAGAAAGTGACGGCCGCGCCCTTCTCACTGTGCACATAGAGGGAGCCCAACAGGTAACGCCACACTTCCTGCGTTTGTTGCGTTGCAGTGAAGTGGATCATGCTTGTTTCCTCTTGTGTATATCAGGTGCAAAGTTACAAAGCTAAAAGTCCACATTGAAGTTTTTGGGGACTGCCTCAAGGCAGCGGCCCAAACCGCAAAGTGTACCCCCACAAATTTTATATCAAAACGACTGGCTCGGCACCGTGATGTTTGCTATTACTTTTATTGGCATTTTGGGTTATCATGGAGATGTAATTTGCAAACAAAGATGACATTTTTTTAATTGAAAAACACTGATATAACTCTTAACAGCCTCTAACTGCCGCAATGTGGTCACATGACCTGAAGAGGTCTGTGAAAGAAACTGATAACGTTTTGGAGCCATTCTGGTTCAAGATGGCTGCCACAGCTAACTCAGAAAACTCAAAATTGACAGTCGCTTTTTGAGACATCGAGCTGAAATTTGGCACGGCGGTAGCTGTGAGCAAGTTGTTATGCATTCCTGATTCAAATGAAAAATGCAAGATGGCTGCCTTAGCTAAAAGGGAAAAATATATACTAACCTACTTTCAAATGGATATACAGTAACTCAGGTTTTTGGAACCATTGAACTGAAATTTGGTGTATTGGTAGCTGAGAACAATCCCTAATGGTCTCTGACTGCAAATCAAAAATTCAAGATGGTCGCCTAAGCTAAAAAGGAAAAATACTATAAATTAGTCATTTTTAGAGATATTTAGCTTAAATTTTGTGTGGTGGTAGCTGATAGCAATGTTGAATAAATCCTGAATTTAAATAAAAAAAATCCAAGATGGCGACCATAGCTTAAAAGAGAACATGACTATAATTCATTGAATTTTTGGCATATTGAGCTGAAATTTGGTGTATTGGTAGCTGAGAGTGAACCCACAGTACTGTCAAATGACATTTTAAAATGGTTGCAACATGGCAGGCCCTGACAACGTTTCTCCAGGAACTTTCTAGTTTATTCTTAAGAACTTGCAGCTGCTGAACTTCCTGCAAGGCCTGGTTTCAAATTAAAGCTTAGCTTCCTTTTCTTTTCTTCCTCTTTTGTACCTTATTTTCAGCCGATCTTTCATTCCTCAAACTTTGTCTATTGATTAGTTGACCAGTCAGAGGAGGCTGGGCCTTTAGGAGACAAGATTTAAAACTAATAAAATGGATCAGCCCACCTCTCGGGGCACAAGGCGATAAATTTATTAAGGGATTTCATTGGACTTCAGCTGTTTTTTTTTTCCATCTGTTTTGAACTTTGAGTGGGACTTCTATTTTAATTTTGGCTGATGATGTCGTCTCTTCAACCCTCCAGCCTCTCGTGGTGAGCACTTCATCTCTGGCTGTGGCAGAAAACATGGCCGACCTGATCGACGGCTACTGTCGCCTGGAAGGATGCGCCAAGAATTCCCTCATGGTCCGACCCGGCAAAGGTGCAGAGACAGATCATTGGATTAAATATAAATTACACTTCACATAAATATTTCCATTATTAAGCAACATGTGCTGAATAAAAACTAAAACTAGGCGTAGAACAGGAACAGGAAATCAGTGTGGTGGAATGTCAAAATAAAACAGGAAGCAAGTTTCATAAAAGAAACAGCATTTTTATGTCAACCTTAGGACTTAACCGAACAATAATATATATATTATAATAGACTAAAGGTGGAAAAATACCAAATGTTTGATAAAATATTAGAAAATTTTAAAAAATAAATGTCAGTTTTGGTTCTTTCAGGAAGGGACACAAAGCAAAAACTTCCTGACATACCACAGAGGTGAGTTTGATGAGTCGCGCTGACGAGTCATGTTTTTAAACTTCTTTTTATTTCTCAATGTGGTAAAATTAAAAACTGTGTGGGCTGTGCTTTTTATTCATCGTGTTTTTTTTTACTCCTTCTTCAACCCTACCAAAACGACAACAAGCAAACCTGTTGAGCATTGTTAACAGCTTCTTTCATTAAATTATTATTGTTTATTCATTTTTCTTCCAGTGCTGTTTTCCATAATTGTAAGAGAAGCTTCGGTAAGCTTGTTTACTTCTTTATTAATTGGATAAACATATTTAATGTGGATTTTTTTTTTTAGATGAGTTTCTAGCTATAAAAAAAAAAAAAAAACAACGAAATTTATTTAGGTTGACGTATTGAAGAAATAATAAAGGACATTTATAATTTCTTCAGGATCTGATATCTATGCTGAGATTCCTGAAAACACAGCACTTTATGATGGTAAGTAGTGGTAAAGTATAAATTCATCACAAACACTAATTTAAATTGATGTTTTCCAACTGTATAATTAATTTGAACCTCCTGAGACTCAAGCTTTTTTTTTTTGGTGTATTTTCTCTTTCTCCAAGACCTGGGATTAGTAGAATCAGAATAAGCTTTATTATCATTGTACCGGGATACAATGAGATTATGTTCGTACAGTCGTCCGAAAAGTGGGCAGAGTGCACATTGCTGCTGCTACAAGAGCACGGTCCCTTATTCTTTATCAGAATACTTTTAGATAGAAAAAGGTAAAAGGCCATGAGGATGGAGAGTGGTATTACAAAAAAAGATCTCTTCACATCTTGTCCTATCAGGACACGATATGAGACATCAAAAAACTCTACCAGCAGCACATTTATAAACACAATTACTTATGCATTTGACGTCAAGATGCTGAGATTTGTCCATGAAGCACTTTCAGATAGGCCATAGTCCTGATGTTGTTGTTCAGCCGGCAGTTCTGATAAGCCTGCGCAGAAATTCTTGGTGGGGGGAGGTTGTGAAAGACAACGCTTTTTCCTTAGTTTACCCATGTCCCAGGAGAAATTTGATAGTTGGTCCATATCTGAGGCCAAACGGGGGCGTCAGATTCAGATAAGCCACAATTGTTGATTTTCTTCAGGCAGACTGTTTTTTCTTGTCAGCCTCGAGTCCTGCTGGAACTTTCCAGATCCAAATTAGCCAGATTTATGTGCATTCCTCAGATCCATGCTATGAGCCTTCTTCAAGGTCGACTCCAACATGCTGGCGAGTCCTAGAAGCTGCAGGTGGCCTGCGATTCTCATAAATCACTTTTATCTCATGGTTTAGCTCATAAATCAGCTGATTTTGAGTACTTGTAGCACGAACTAAACCTTCACACCGACTCTGAAGTTTTGTCATGGCCGAAACTGCTTCCAATGTCTTCTTCAAAAGTTGATAACATAGGGACCCACCGATGCCAAAAAGCAGAAACCCTGCTATCATAAATCTAATTATATAAACGTCTTTGGAGTCGTCGTGAGACAGAACTGAAAGACACATCAGCTGCCAAACTCCCCACGAATCTCTGATGTATCCTGCAGCATGAGTCTCGGCAGGACATGAGGGCTCTTCAGGACTCTGTCGTTTTGTTGAAAATATTTTGTTGATTGCATTGAAAGTCCAGTTCACCAGATCCATAATAGTATTTTGTTCATTCGGAAGATGTGTAACAGGAGCTCCGAGACAGAGAGAGAGCAAAAGCAGGAAGAAGAAGAGAAGGCGACCGTCTTGAGCGAGAGCGAGTAGTAGGCCCCAATAAGTTAAATAACTAAACTCCGACATGGTACAGGAAGTGACTTTAGAACGAAAAAAGCCCTCATATGAGGACAGTAGGTTTATTTTAGTATTTTATATTTTTCTTTGCAAATTGGGCTCAGAAGGTCCCAATAACTCTTAAAACTAAATTTCAGCTTTGCATGATGAGCAGTTCTCTAAAAGAGTCAATGTCTTCATATGAGGACCCGCGGTCTCAGTCACTGATGGAAATGTTCTGTTTGTGTTCTGTTGACCTTCAAACATGCACTCAAACAGCTTCCTCTGGTTTTTATTGTCTAGATAAACACGGGATCTCCAGAGACGATGTCATCGTGGGCCGGATCCTCGGAGAAGGATTCTTTGGAGAAGTTCATGAAGGAGTTTATAAAAGCCCGGTGAGCTCTTATTAATTTAAAACATCACAGAACTTCAAGTCATCAGGGGAAATAAAAGTCCACCCTATAAAAACATTTTATTAACATAACACCAAGGTGACAATACATCAGCAATTACCTGAGAGAAACTGCTACTGCTTATTGATCTGGGAAGGGTCAAAGGTCATTTATAAACACTTTATCATTCCACATTGAGGAAGATTGTTCACAAGTGAAAAACATTTATGATTACAAAAAAGTCCCAATCGTCACAGGAGTGAATGGTGCAACAAGTTCACCCCAAGGGCAGGCTGTGCAATGTTAAGACATTGAAAACCCCGCAAAAGCTCCATGTCAGACTCTACAACCTAAATTATCAGGTTAAAGGTCAAAAGTCATGACAGGACAAATGCGACTCATTTGGAAGGTTTGCAGGAGAAAGACTCCTCTCTAAAACAGGGGAGTCCAATCCTGGTCCTCGAGAGCCACCCCCCTGCATGTTATAGATCAGGTGTGTCAAATCCTCACCCTCGAGGACCACTACTCTGCATGTTTTACTTGTTTCTTGCTCCTACACGCCTGATATGAATCAGTGAATCAAAACATGCAGGGGAGTGGCCCTCCTGGACCAGGATGAGACACCCCTATTGTAAAGAGTTTACAGCAGCATGACAGTAGGTTTGTGAATTTCTTTGGAACAAACCATAACATGAGTTCAAAGTAGAGTCGTTCAGAGAAAACCTCATGGCAACTGTTGAGCACGATGGGGGAGGGGTGACGGTCGGGGCTTCAGGACCTGGCACTGTCCACTCATTGGGTCAAACTCCTCCATGAACGTAGGAGTAGCATCATTCAAAACACAGCTGCTGATCCAGACACCAGCCTGACCGAAACGCGGTGGAACAACTCTTTATTCATATTTTTTTTTTAACACTTGAGGCGAGACTCGAGTAACATTGAAAACCAGATTGTTTTATGAAGCCCTGAAAAAACCAGAGACCTGAAACAGGGTGGACTTTTTTTTCCCCGTGACTGAACTGTTCCCACAGCCGAATTCTAACATCAGTGATGTGGACAGAGTGTCTGAATGGAGATGTGTTTGTGTGTTCGCAGAGCGGCGAAGGCATCCGTGTGGCCATCAAAACATGCAAAGACTGCTCGGCTGACGTGAAGGAGAAGTTTCTCAGTGAAGCCGGTGAGCTTTGTGGGCACAGGTGCAGATGGAAACAGAAACAAGTGTGACGACAGGAAGCTGAAACGTCTCTGTGTGGCTCTTTTTGAGGTTTCATCAGTCCGGGTTCTGCTGCAGCTGACTTCCTGCTGTCAGAACGAAACCTACATCAATAGAGGTGGAAACAGATCATACAAAAAAAGGCTCAGCACATCTTTAATCACCTCACAATGAGAAATGATTGAGCTGTAGCCCTTCTGGTCAATCCTATACATTGAGGATGACTCTCAGCTACCGCCACGTATACATAACGTATTAATACGCCAATATAACGCCACGATATATGAATAATCAACAGAAATCCAGCTATTTTTGTGTTTGCCAAGGTGAGACGACTGTGGCAGCTGTCTTGAATAGCGTCATAGAGGAACATCTAATAATGATTCCCTGAAAGTTTCCCTTGAGGGCCACTACCCTGCATGTTTTAGATCAGGGGTGTCCTCTCTGGTCTTTGAGGGCCACTATCCTACATGCTTTAGATCAGGGGTATCCACCCTGGTTCTTGTGGGCCACTATCCTGCATGTTTTAGATTAGGCATCCTCAGTGGTCTTTGAGAGCCACCATCCTGCATGTTTTAGATTATAGGTGTACTCAATGGTCTTTGAGGGCCACTATCCTGCATGTTTTAGAACAGGGGTATCCAACCTGGTTCTTGTGGGCCACTATCTTGCATGCTTTAGATTAGTGGTGTCTTCACTGGTCTTTGAGGGCCACTATCCAGCAGGCTTTAGATCAGGGGTGTCCATTCCTTCAAGGAATGACAGGCTTCTGTTTAGATGTTTGGAACGCATTATCTTAAAGTGATGTTTGTGGCACTTTAATGTTTTTTGTGTGCAGTAAACATCACAATTGTTGTTCTTTATCATTTACCATTCATCACTTGCTCTTGTTGAGGTCGGATGCTTTTCCCCTCTCCTCCCTCTCCGTTTGGTTGCTGCTCTGTCTGTCTGTGAAACTGCTTTTTAGCCTCTCTTGCATATCTTCCGAACGATAATTATGGACTTGATTTGATCAGTTGGTCCCTCAACACAATTGATAACATTTCTTCGAAGAGAAGACAGGCTTTAGGCGAGCCACTTTGCCCTGTTAGCATGCACGCAGCTGGATATCTCATCGACTTGAAGACTTGATGATGTGTCTATCTTTGCTGCCATATACGGATTTTAAGGATGCATATTTAATTGGATTTACGATAACTGGTTCCTGCTTTTTGGATTCGGCTGGTTGCTGGTAAGCAGCAAATTGGGACCCGATCACGCTGCTTGCCTTTATGATGGCTTGGTTCATGCTTCGAGTACCCAGACTCAAATGCTTTGGGCAAAATGGATCAGATCTTGGGGATTTTACTCAGGCACGTTCCATCAGTGTGACCATGTGATTTGGACATTTCGGAACCAATTGGACCAACACATACTCAAGGTAGATGTCATTAATTTCTGCCTGTCCCCAAAACAACAGTGTGTTTATCTGAATTTGGCTCCCCCGGCTGGCCTGGTCTTAAAGGCTACCTTATCTGAATTTGCCTGGAGAACAAGTGATCTGACCCCCCCCCCCCCCCCCCCCACCCCAAATAATTTCCAACTGCTCAACAGAGAGGAAACCAGCTGAATAAACATTGTGTCATCATTTCAGGACTCTTGGATTCCCATAGGCATTGTCCTTGGCATTCCCCGACATCCCTCGGGAATGTTTACAGATCTCACCGGAGGAAACTAGCTGATTATCCTATCCTTATCAGAACTCTTACAGTGCCCCCGAGAGCTTTCAAGGACATTGCTCACCACTCTCGTCATCCCCCCCCCCCCCCCCCAATGTTTACGTCACTATGTGCTTGTTTGTGCAAGGTGTTTTTTAATATTACAGTTTTTCTTCTCAGCCAAGAAGAAAAAGTCTGATAGGAACGTTTTCGTCTTCAATTCCTACATGTGTCTAGTTTTACTACTTTTTGTCTGTCTAAACAAATCTCACTTGTAAATGAGTCTTCTAGGCTCAATGTGACTTGTCTGTCTAAATAAATGTTGAATGAAGTATGTCCATAAATAATGAAGTAAGAAAAACAAAACATATCTACAAATTTGATGTCCTGTATTCCCTGTTTGATGCAGACCTAATGAAGAACCTGGATCACCCTCACATCGTGCGTCTCGTCGGAGTCATCGAGGTGGATCCTGTCTGGATCGTCATGGAGCTGTACGAGCATGGAGAGGTGCGTTAAACTGTCTTTAAATTGTTATTTCTCCAATCTGAACAGGCTGATAAAGAGATATTTTAATGTAGTGTTTGTTTTGTTGAAGATGATGTTCTTGTCTTTTTGAAAGTTGGGGAGCTACATCGTGGAACATCAGTCCGTCTTGTCGACAGCAAAGTTAACTCAGTTCAGTCTCCAAATCTGCAAAGCCTTGGCGTACCTGGAAGGCCTCAATATGGTGCACAGGTAACACAACTATCGCTCGCCGCTGTAAGTCAGAGGTGGACGATAATGTTTTTGACTGTGTCTCATCAAAACATCACCACCGGATGAATTTTACCAAACTCTTAGAAAGTCATCATTGAATTACTACCGGTATTACTTGGTCAGCTTTGGAGACAATGAGCTCAAATTTGGTGTGGGAGTAGCTGAAAGTCATTCCCAACACATACTCTGAGCTCCAGCACGAGAGGCCACGGTAGCTCAGTGGTCAGTGCCATGGTCTCGAGCCCAGGTCGACATCAGGTATAAAACAACACTGTGGCGTTGTAGGCATTGGCTATGTTTTGATCAAATTAAATGTATATCAGTTTGAATAAATCTGTATATATTTATATATTTTTTGTACTTCCCGCTCGTCCTATAGAGATATCGCTGTGAGAAACATCCTGGTGGCCTCTCCTGAGAGTGTGAGGCTCGGTGACTTTGGCCTGTCTCGCTACATCGACGAACAAGAATACTATAAAGGTACAGGTATTTCCTGTAAAGATCCATTTAAAGTTGTTATTCGAGACATTTTTCTTGACTTATCTCGTCCTCATGCACAGCTTCACTCAGTCGATTACCAATCAAATGGATGGCCCCTGAATCCATCAATTTTAGACGCTTCACCACGGCCAGCGATGTCTGGATGTTTGGTGAGAAATCCCCATTAATTTCTCACCAACACGTGCACGTTGTGCACATCTGTGTCTACATGGAGATGCGTTGGTGTATATACCAGCTGAGAATTAATGCAAAGTCTTCATAAAGCGTTCAGACGCTTGCCTGCTAACAGGCTGTTTATGTGGAAATGCAGATTCTTTTATTTTCTTTCTTTCTTGATGTGTAAACACTTCACCAAACTTTCAGCTAATTTATAACCCAACTGTCAATATGGTCGGCTCATTTAGGGTTTTATAGCTTTTTGGGACTTTTGGTTTTTATCTTTCTGCTTCCTTGTGTTTGGCAAAGTGTTTATTAGATTGTAGTAGAACATGTTCACCAGAAACAGTCGTTACCTCGTTTTATGACCCGGTGAGTACCAGATAAATTTTAGAACTTCCTACTATGATGGTATTTTGGATCCTACCTTGTGTTCTTGAGACATGGCAGTCGTCAGAACAGCAAGGATGTTTCTGGGGACGGCGTAGGTCAGCCATGTTTGTACTTTGTATGCTCCACAAGGTGTGTGTGTTTGGGAGATCTTCTCCATGGCTCAGCAGCCGTTCTTCTGGCTGGAGAATGGGCAGGTGATCAACCAGCTGGAGTCTGGAATTCGCCTCTTCAAACCAGAGCGCTGTCCCCCCACCATCTATGCCCTGCTCACCTGCTGCTGGGCCTACGAGTCACAGGGACGCCCCACCTTCAGGAAACTTGTTTGCTCTTTCAGGTATGCATGTCCATGCCTGTTTTAAGGAACACTGATGGGGAGGAACACTGATGCTGTGTAATCTGTGTTTCACAGTGAGATCCACAGGATGGAGTTGGAGCAGGAGAATGATATACGACGAGGAAGATCCCACTCGGTCTCGTCCATCTTTGACCCAAACTTCACCAAGCCTCCGCCTAAGGTACCTCCCTGCACATGAGCTCTGTCCGCTGTGAACTGATTGCCGTAACTGTTGTCCAGACGTGCAACTTTTAGGTTCACAGCACTTTATATAAATAGTAAACAATCAGTGACTTCTGCTTCTTTAGTTGCATCACAAACCTTTTCACATCAGAGCCGTCTGTTTCAGTATTATGACCAAACATGGATCTGGTTCTAGTTGCAGTACCACTCATGGCCACTAGATCGCAGTTCATCAACAACTGAAAGTACTGTTGAAGTGAATGGGGGGAAAGAGTTCCTGTTATTTTTTAACCAAATAATTGTTTCCTTTTAACAAGATGATGGAAACATTGGAGAAATAACATGATAAACTGGCTTACAATAAATATTTTCCACATCCCTAGAGGTATTTTATGCTGCCAGGAATAGACATGGTCAGGGACCTCCTTGCTTGGTGTCCGGCTTGCGTGGCACCTGACCTTGACCGTCCTACTTGCATGTGGTAGGCCCAGGTGGAGGTGGCATCCTGTTTATGTTTGTGGCTTGGCCTGGCCAAAATCCAGGATCCAAAGCTCCCCCTCAGGCCTGACTCCAGGGAGGTGCACTGGTTCCCCTTTTTCAGGTGAAATTTCCTGATGCAGCTGCTGTTCATTCATCAAGGTTTTCTAAAATGAACTTAGTCTTCCATTGAGATCTGTTAAACATGAAAGACTCTACAAGAATCTGATGCTCCAGCCAACATAACCCCCAGGATCACGGGGGTACTCAATCCTCTCCACCAAATTAAGGCGGCAATTCTGTGGAGGGGAGCAAGAGATGGATCTACAGAAACAAGGGTGTTCCTTCAGTCAGTCGTGGTGAAGATAGAGTTGAGTCAAAAGCAAAGGTCTGGATTTACTGGTCTGTCTATGTTCCAACCCTCACCTGTGGTAATGAAGTTTAGATCATGACCGAAAGAGCCAGATCCTGGTTACAAGCGACTGCAATGAGCTTCCTTCGTAGGGTGGCCAGGCTTAGCCTCAGAGATCCTCTGCATCGAAAAGCGTCAATGGCAAGTGGGCTTTCTTGGACTGTGAGGTCTCAGTCTCTGATAGAAGACGTTTGCAAACTGAGGTGTACCGCAAACCCACCCACACAGACCAGTATTTGCAGTTTGACTCCCATCACCCTTTGGAGCACAAGTTAGGAGTCATCAGGACTCTGTATCACAGAGCAGACAGCGTCCCCACTAGCTCAGGAGCCAGGCAGAAGGAGAAATCCCACACAAGACAGGCTCTAGAGCAATGTGGATATCCTAACTGGGCCTTCCTGAAAGCAGAGAAGAAACCCAAACAGGACTCCAGTCAGCCAACAGGTGAAAAGGAGGAACCCAGACCCAGACCAGTGGTCATTCCATATGTTGAGGGAGTATCAGAGAAACTGAGATGTTTATTTTCTAAACATAACGTCCCAGTGGCTTTTAAACCCCAAAATACATTACGGCAAAGACTGGTTCATCCCAAAGATCCAGTCCCCCGGCACAAACAGAGTAATGTTGTGTATGCTGTTCAGTGTCAGGAGGGCTGTGATCAGTCTTACATCGGGGAAACTAAACAGCCACTGGCCAAAAGGATGAGCCAGCACAAAAGATCAACATCATCAGGCCAGGACTCTGCGGTCTACACTCATCTCCAGGCCAGTGGTCACTCTTTCAGGGATGAAGATGTTCACATCCTGGATAGAGAGGAACGATGGTTTGAGAGAGGAGTAAAGGAGGCCATCTTTGTGAAAAGAAACCGTCCATCGTTAAACAGGGGTGGAGGCCTCCGGGTTCAACTGTCCCCCTCTTACAATGCTGTGATTGCTGGTATCACTCAACCCTCTGTGAGTAGTAAACAGCCATCAGTGTGCTAATGACCCATTGTTAGGCTGATGGTCCTTCTTGAGCATGTGATCAGCTGGTTTTGGTTGTCAGCAGCAAAACTGGTTGATCCACCCTGAGACGGTGCTATTTAAGAGACTGAACTGAAAACAGCACCTCAGACTGAGGAAGTCTCTCGGATGAGAGACGAAACGTTTCTAGATTTTTTTGCTTTGTTTTGTTTTTTGTTTTTTTGAATGTCCAGAGGACCAGATTGAACTTTTTTGGATTTAGGCAATGATCATCTGAAATCGAGGAATCACAGCTGATTGGGTCAAACGCTGTAAATTACTTCTGCAACCTAGAGTCTGTGTTGTGAATCACCCTCAGCTACTACCACTCCAAACTGTAGCTCAATGTCTGTTAAACAAAATGTAGCTGCTTTTGCTAATGCTGCTCAGCTGTGACGGCCATCTTGAATCGGATTGCCTCCAAAAGGTTATCAGTTAGGACAGCACGGTGGCGCAACTGGTAGAGCTGCTGCCTCTCAGCGAGCAGGTCCCTGGTTCAAACCCCGGTCCAGGGGCCTTTCTGGGTGGAGTTTACATGTTCTCTCCGTGCATGCGTGGGTTTTCTCCGGGTGCTCCGGTTTCCTCCCACAGACCAAAAACATGCATGTTAGTCTGATTGGTAACTCTAAATTGTCCCTAGGTGTGAGTGAGAGAGTGAATGGTTGTTTGTCTCGTTTGTCTCTATGTGTCCCTGTGATGGACTTGCGACCCGTCCAGGGTGTACCCCGCCCCTCGCACAGTGATTGCTGGACATGGGCACCAGCGACCCCCGTGACCCAAAATGGAATAAACGGGTAAAGATAATGGATGGATGGAGGTTATCAGTTATAGATTTACATCCGGTGATTACTTCTTGAGAGTTTCGTTGGAACCCGTCCAGTCGTTCATGGGATATTTTGCTAACAGACAGCCTAACTAACACAGCAGACAAGCGTGACAGTTAAAGAAGATCTCTTTTAATAAACTGTGCGTCTTTTCTGTTTCCCTCAACAGCCGTCCAGGGGTTATGCCCACACCCTCCACAAAACCAACATCAGAGAGGTGTCTAAACACACACTCACCCAAAGCATTAAAAAATCTAAATGAAAAGTTAGTTTTAATTTGGTTTTCTCCCTGATTTTGGTTTTCTTTTAATTATACGTGTGCATGCGTGCATGTGTGTTCAGGGACCAGTGACGGTTGGATGGTCCATGTGGGAGAAAGATCAAGTGGAGGACGCCTTGCAGAGACAGAGACAGGAGATGCTGATGGACAGGAAGTGGCTGGAGCAGGAGGAGAGACACCTGGTGAGGACGTCAACTGGAACACACAGACATGCACAGATTGTGTTCAGTTGTGTGTTTATGTTTGGTCAGAGGGGATCAGCCTCACATGTCGTGGCTGCATGCACACACTCCTGCGTCAGGCTGATTTGTGCCTTTTGCCTTTTTGTTTGTGTGAAGGACCCCGCAGTGCGACTAGACTCACAACCTGAGGTGTGCCGTCTATTTTCTCTTTCACATTTTTTTTTAATTTTTTTTTTCATTCAACCTTTATTTATACAGGTTAGTCTTAATGAGTCATGAGGACTCGTTTACAAGAGAGATCTGTTTTAGACAGACAACATATAAAGTACAAACAACAATAAAAAGCAATTAAAACAAAAAAAAGTGTTTTAAAAACACTGTTACTGTTAACTGCCCTGTTAGCAGAGCAGTTCTGTTAGCAGTGTAGCAGTGAGGTTTCTCTAATAGCATGGTCCTGTAAGCAGCATGGTCCTGTTAGCAGTGTGGTTCTGTTACCAGCGTGATCCTGTTAGCAGAGAGGTTCTGTTAGCAGCATGGTCCTATTAGCAGTGTGGTCCTGTTAGCATGGTTTTGTTAGCAGCATGGTCATGTTAGCAGAGTGGTTCTGTTAGTAGTGAGGTTCTCTTAGCAGCATAGTTCTGTTAGCAGTGATGTTCTTTTAACAGCATGGTCCTGTAAGCAGCATGGTCCTGTTAGCAAAACGGTCTTGTTAGCAGTGTGGTCCTGTTAGCAGCATGGTCCTGTTAGCAGAGAGGTTCTATTAGCAGCATGGTCCTGTTAGCAAAGAGGTTCTATTAGCAGCATGGTCCTGTTAGCAGAGTGGTTCTGTTAGTAGTGAGGTTCTCTTAGCAGCATAGTTCTGTTAGCAGTGATGTTCTTTTAACAGCATGGTCCTGTAAGCAGCATGGTCCTGTTAGCAAAACGGTCCTGTTAGCAGTGTGGTCCTGTTAGCAGCATGGTCCTGTTAGCAGAGAGGTTCTATTAGCAGCATGGTCCTGTTAGTAGCATGGTCCTGTTAGCAGTGTGGTCCTGTTAGCAGAGTGGTTTTGTTAGCAGTGAGGTTTTTTTAACAGCATGGTCCTGTAAGCAGCATGGTCCTGTTAGCAGTGTGGTCCTGTTAGCAGAGTGGTTTTGTTAGCAGTGAGGTTCTTTTAACAGCATGGTCCTGTAAGCAGCATGGTCCTGTTAGCAAAACGGTCCTGTTAGCAATGAGGTCCCGTCATCAGCATAGTACTGCTAGCAAAGTGGTTCATCTAGCAGTGTGGTCCTGTTAGCAGTGTGGTCCCATTAGCAGCATGATGACAATAACAACCGTGGCAACGAACGATGGACTGCCCTCCAGAACCGGGTCCGGCAGACACAGAACATTCAAATTCCCCACGGAACCAAACTGTTCCGTAGAGTTTGGTCCATCCAGGCAGATGGAGGATGATGGGGGCAGCCACCATGACAGGGCGGAACCTGAGCCCAAGGCGGGAAGGGGGCCAGAGAGTGGTGTTATGGTGCAAAGAACCGAGCTGCAGATGGACCGTGTAGGTCTCAGCAAATTCCCAGTGGACCGGAGCGGATCGGAGAGCGGTGGGTCGTATCGTACCATCCTGCCAGACCAATGCTGGACGCATAGCAGCATGTTTTATTTGGCTATTAGCTTGTCTTTTGCTACATTTAGTCTTTTGAAAACAATGTGTTACTTTTAGCTTTTAGGTAGCCTTTTGCTTCTTTTAGTGTTTTGCTTCTTTTGTCTTTTAGACAGCATTTTGTATGTTTAGCTTATCTTTTGCTACCTTTAGACTTTAACCAGCATTTTGCTACTTTTCACTTTTAGCGTTTTGCTAGTTTTGCGTGTTTTGCTATTTTTAGCTTTTAGCTCGAATTTTTGGTTTTTAGCTTTTAGGTAGCCTTTTGCTACTTTGAAGTAGTGTTTTGTTACTTTTGTCTTTTAGCCAGCATTTTGTAATTTAGCTTCTCTTTTGCTACTTGTAGCATTTAGCTAGCATTTTGTTAATTCTAGTTTTTAGGTATCCTTTTGCTACTTTTAACTAATGTTTGCTACTTTTGTCTTTTAGGCAACATTTTGTAATTTTAGCTTCTCTTTTGCTACTTGTAGCATTTAGCTAGCATTTGGCTACTTTTATCTTTTAGGTAGCCTTTTGCTATTGTTTTGCTACTTTTAACCTTTAGCTAGCATTTTGATACTTTTGTCTTTTAGGTAGTTTTACTACTTTTTATTAATGTTTACTACTTTTGTCTTTTAGCCGGCTTTTGTACTTTTAGCTTATCTTTTGCTACTTTAGCTTATAGCATGTTTGGTGGTGTGTTGCTACTAAGACTAATTAGCGGTGGCAGCCACCTTGAATCAGGTTGACTCCTGAAGTTAATCAGCTCTAGACGTACATCTGACAACTCTGATTTTAATCCGTCCAGCGGTTCATGAGATATTTTGCTAACAGGTGCATGGATACACAAACGAACAGGTCCATCTAATGTGAAGATTTGCTGCTTTGACACTTGATCACGTCAAAGATTCAAATGTGTCAGATTCTTTGGAAAAACAGTAAAAACTTTCCAGGTCGATGAAGCCTCTCACTTCCTGGAGTCCAGAAAACATCACGCCATGTTTAAAACTCTAGAAATGTGTCCAACTAATTAAACTTTCCTGTTTTTTTTTTCTTGCCTCTGTTTTTAGCCGCCTCCTGAGAAATTCCCAGAAAGTGGTGAGTCTGTTTTATCCGATTGTTGTGCTTCAATTTTATTCAGTTTAAATAAAACGCAGAAGAAAATGTTTGACGTCTTACTCAGTGACCTTGTACACAAGGACTAGTTTGTAAATTTTAATTACTTCATGTAGAAGCTGAAAATGTTGTGAAATGAAATCATGTTTCTGTTCCAGGACCTCCAGAGAAACTCCCGATGCCCCCCTCAGCCTCACAGGTGAAATTCTGTTTAATCGTCACCGATGTTTTCTCATCCTAAAAGTTGTCAAACGATTTGAGAAGATTAAAAAGTGGTGCGATGTTGTAGCCTCGGCCCACGGCCGAACTGGACCGGTCCGGTGATGAGGTCTACACCGGCGTCATGGCGATGGTGAAGCAGGTGGTGCAGCTGAAGAATGACGTCAACACTCTGCCCGCCTCCGAGTACCCCAGCACCGTTAAGGTACCTCTCCCCGTCACCTAAACTGAGGAAGTTAACACTAGACGGATCTGTCGTGTCAGCCCAAACAGCCCTGCTGCTCGGTTTCTGGATTAATGTCCTCTCTTTCCTCCCACTCGTCTTCCCTGCAGGCGGTTGGAATCACGCTCCGCAGCCTGATCGAAAGAGTCGATGAGATCCTGCCCTCCCTGCACAGCTCCGTCACTACCGAGGTACGACTTGAGACGTGTAAACACTCACTGACAAACTAAATAAGTTAAACATCCAGAGTGGAGGAAATGGGATGAACGTGCATGTGTTGAAAGGTGTTTTTGGAAAAATGAGTTAACCATGTCCGCTCACGTCTGGAGGGTGTGCCATCCCTCTGGTCTGGATAGAAGCAACAGTTTGGCGTGGAATTACCATATTTTTCAGCCTATAAGTCACATTTTTTTTTGCATAATTTACATGCCCTGCAACTTATAGGCCGAAGCGACGTATTTATGGATTTTTTCCCATATTTATAAACCAATTTTTGGCTGAGATATGACCGTTTCCATTCATTCTGACTGAAAAATTGTGCAGTACCATTTTCAGCTACTAGATGGCAGCAGAGTAGTAGTAGCAGTATGGCATGCCGTTGTATCATGCAATACGTGGCTAAAATGACAAATTCAAAAAAGTTCAAGACAAAAACAACTGGACTTTATTTATTAAACTTTATACTTTATTGTTTTTATCTTGAACTTTTTTGAGTTTACCATGTCCTGGATGACGCAATCGGCTTGCCTTAGTACCCCACCTTCGTTCTGCTCGCTGCTTTGAGCTCAGCTTCATTTTGCTGCATCACCCCGGCGAAATTCAGCTAATTTGACCATTAAAGTGCATTTATTACATAAAACTTCAATTGAGACACATGTTTGCTATAATTTCGAGCAAACAAATAATTGTTTTAGGTGCTTTTCTTGTTAAATTTCGAAGAAACGAGCAGCGTTCCTCTTATTTTTTTTCCTCCCTCTGCACTCTCCTGGAGCACCAAGGCAGCAAATACAGCTGATTTGACCGTTAAAGTCCTTTTATTAAGCAACGTTGGACTAAGACACACCTTTACTATAAAGTCGAGCAAACAAATAATTGTTTTTAGGTGTTTCTCTTGTTAAATTTCAAAGAAATGGGGAGGCTCGTCCATTCGCGCGTGCCCGCCGCTTCCGCAAATCGGGTTTTGAAATACAGATGATTTGACCATCAAAGTGCTTTTATTAAGCAAAAGTTAGACTGAGACACACCTTTACTATAATTTTGAGCAAACAAATACACTCTCCCGCAGCCGCCATTTGGCAGCCCATTGATTTTTGGCACAACACCGGCCCACATTTCCAGGTTTTCAGCAGTGACGCATAATAGAGGTGACGTATACGGCGAAGCGACATATTTATGGATTTTTCCACTTTTTTAGACATATATGGACTGATGCGACTTATAGGGCGGAGCGACGGGTACGGTGGAAAATATGGTAACACATTCTGCTGTCGTAAACTCTCTGTAGACTCTACTGTCTCTGAAGGAGTAAGACATGCAAGCACAGGATGTCACTCATGTAGTGTTGTGCCGTCAAGATCCCCTGGATCCCCTCCAAGGGGTGACCTGAACTCAGACACTACGGCTACCAAAAACTTTGATCCCAGGAGGAGCGTCTCTTCACAAACATCGATACAACACGCTCATACATGATGAGTATCAATGGTAATGCAGAACTGAGTTTCATTCCTGAACGTGATATGCTGTCTCTGCTTTGGTAGCAACAGCAGACCATGGGACAGTGAGTCCAGCAGACCATGGGACAAAGGCTGGACTTCAGGTTCACTGTTCCATAGTCTAATGATGCAAGACATCAAGATACAATACTGAATGGCTATGTTGTTTTAAAAAAATCCAGTACTTGTTTCTGGAAGGTAGGCCTATTTCATGAGGTTTTGTAATGCTTGGTGAAAACACAACCGTCTTACCTTAATGTGGTCTGGAACCATCACCTTCGGTCCATTGGAACATCTGGACGCCCTACATGCCAGGCATGATATACCTCTTTGATCCCATGCAAACTCACATTATGACCCCTCTTAAACTCCATTAAGTGCTGGTAATGTGGTCCAATGCACCATTGAGGCTTCCCTCTTTGGCAACTGCCTGATAACACTAATACTGCACTCAAGAGTCCACCTCCTATGTCTTCTGGTGCTTGTTCCAGAAGTTGCTGCTTATTGCAAATCAAATTCTTTACATACTCATCTTTAGTCTGCATGTGTCCCAAATTACGTCCAAATCAGATCATTCCTCCTGGTAGATGAACGTTTGTTGTTGTTTTTTTGTCAGTGAGTGTCGATTCATAATGAGTTTGGGTTTTGTTTCTCAAACGATGTTGTGACTTTGGATAAGTGAAAACTAAAATGGCATGATCTCCTCCCCGTCTCAGATCGAGGGCACCAAGAAACTCCTGAACAAGGACTTGGGCGAGTTGATCAGCAAGATGCGCCTGGCCCAGCAGAACTCCGTCACGTCTCTGAAGGACGAGTGTCAGAAGCAGATGTTGGCAGCTGCTCACACCCTGGCGCTGGACTCCAAGAACCTGCTGGATGCCGTGGACCAGGCCCGAGTCAGGGCCAACCTGGCCAAACCTAAACCCAACTCGCAAGAGGCAGAAGATTTGAGCCAATGAGGAACGATCGCGTCTTGTCGTCAAAATGAAGAATCTAAACTTTGTTTTTCTGCAGGCAGAATCCTGGGTTACAGTATGTGGTGAATAATGTGAACTTAAAAAAAACATTTTGTCTTGCTCTCTATAATGTTGCATTATAAAAATTTTCATAAAGGGATGCACAACTACCAAACAAAACCATACTTTTTACCCAGTTTTGTCTTTGTCCATTAAACGTACCTGTTCATCCTTTCAGAGAAGGAGCCACAAAATCAAAAAAACAGATTTTTTTATGAAACATGTGATCAGTTGAGTTGGGATGAGCGTTGAAAAAACATGGAAATGTTCATTTTGCCGTAATTGATATTTGTGTAAAAATGAGTCTGTACAGGTGCCATCTAGTGATCCTAGTAACTAAAACATCTAATCTACCTTTAAATCAAAGTTTATTTTTTAACAGATGTGTATTCAGCAATAAAAACAACAATAAACAGCAATAATAACAATAATGGACAACAGACCACGGGCAGTGAGAATCGGCAGTCTCATTTTCTCCACACTAGTCGTCAGCACTGGTACACCTCAGGGCTGTGTCCTCAGTCCACTCCTGTACTCACTATTTACACATGACTGTACCGCTAAGCACAGCTCTAACGTCATCCTCAAGTATGCTGATGACCCCACCAGCCTGGGCCTCATCACCAATGATGAGAGTGCCTACAGAGATGAGGTGAAATCACTGACCAGCTGGTGTCAGAAAAATAACCTCTCTCTAAATGTCAGCAAAACAAAGGAGATGATAGTAAACTTCAGGAAACAGCGTGGAGGCCAGCACTCCACCATCTACATAAACAACGCTGAGGTGGAGCAGGTCAGCAGCTACAAGTTCCTCAGCATTTACATCACAGAGGATCTGTCCTGGACTTTACAAACAGACACTGTGGTCAAGAAAGTCAGACAAAGACTCTACTTCCTAAGAAGACTAAAGAAGTTTGGTACGAACTCCAGCATCCTCACCAACTTTTATAGGTGCACCATTGAGAGTCTGCTGACAGGCTGCGTCACAGCGTGGTACGGGAACCGCATGAGTCAGAGCCGGACAGCTCTACAGAGGGTGGTGTAAACAGCAGAGGACATCACTGGTAGCAGTCTCCACACCATCCAGGACATCTAGCACAGCCGATGTCTGCGTAAAGCACGCATCATTAAGGACCACACCCACCCAGCACAAAGAGTCTTCCATCTACTACCTTCAGGCAGACGATACAGGAGTCTGCCATCACGTACAAAAAGAATAAAGGACAGCTGTTATCCACAAGCTGTCAGATTACTGAACTCTTGATAAATAACAGTGAACAACTGGCAATAACACCAAGCCACATCTGTGACAACTAATATGACAAATATTAGCTTCTGACAGCTAATATGCTTATTATTTATTGCTGCTGCACTATGTGGCTGTATCTAGGCTGATACTAGGCTGTATCATGTATGAATATGTATCTATGTACCTGCATTACCATCATAATTCAATTTCACCTGTGCAATAACCTGTCGCACAACCTGTGTAGTACATGTTAATTATGTGCTATATATATATATAGAAGTACATCAGCAAATACTTTTGAAATGCAGCTGATTTGACCATTAAAGTGCATTTCTTAAGCAAAAGTTCAACTGAGACACACCTTCACTATAATGTCGAGCAAACAAATAATTGTTTTTAAGTGTTACTCTTGTTCAACTCTTGTTAAAGTCCTCCCGTTCACGCTCCAGCGGCTAACATTTGGCAGCCATTTGATTTTTGGCACAACACCGGCCCACTTTTCTGGGTTGTCGGCGGTGATGCATAATAGATGTGACTTGTACAGCGTAGTGACATATTTATGGATTTTTCCACTTTATTAGAAATATTTGGACTGATGCGACTTATAGGGCAGTGAGACGTGTATGATGATTATAATATGATTTACAATATTTTAGAGTTGTTCCTGTAATCCCAATATCATATTCAAGCCTCTGTAGTAGAATATTGTGATCAACTGTATCAAATGCAGCACTGAGGTCTAACAGGACCAGTGTAGACACAAGTCCATTGTCTGAGGCCATGAGAATCTCATTAGTGACTTTAACGAGTGCTGTTTCTGTGCTATGATTAACTCTAAACCCTGACTGAAACTTCTCAAAGAGGTTATTTCTGTTCAGATATTCACACAACTGGTTTGCAACGATTTTTTTCAAGAATTTTTGAGATGAAAGTCAGATTAAATAGAGTAGGGAGGTGCAGTTGTCCCTGATGGGGGACTCCCGGAGCTCCAGGCTTGGGGGACCGCTGTGTGTCTGTGGCTCCGGTCTTCCCAGTGTTACCATCGTGTCCTGTGGGGACGGGTCTGTGGGTCCCCACATCCACTATTGAACATTTTTATGGAGAAACCTCATAGTGACAGCATGCTCACACAGGTGTTTAGATCCAGGTGTTTATCAGATACACACTCAGTTGGGTTGTGGTGGCCACTAAATAGATCTTGTATTACCATGTACTGTATAAAATACTTTCTAATGAGGTTATAAGCATCATTATATTTCTTGTTTGTTGTTGTGGTTTCGTCTTGTTTTTGTTTTGTTTTATTTCTTTCCTCAGGTCTAGAGGCAGACTTCAATGATGTTGATTTGTGTCAGCTCGTGCTTCACCTCTGTGCTGAGGGTCAGTTAGATACAGGTCGACCTAAAACCATTAAATCAGGTGCAATAAACCAAGAGGATCAGGGTCAGAGGGAGAAAGAAAGGGCTCGTCTGGGATTTGAACCCGGGACCTCTCGCACCCTAAGAGAGAATCATAACCCTAGACCAACGAGCCACACACATCTTTGCTCCACATGTGTATTTTGCTCCAAACATCTGTATGTCGTGCTGATGTGGCAGGTCGTTCTCAAAGCGTCATCTGGTGAAACAGCACCACCTGCTGGTCCAAGATAAACTCCACAGGCTCCTTGGTCTTAGGGATGAACCTCGCTACAGGTGCAAAGAGCTCCTGAGTTCAAATCCCGGACGTGTGAATCAACGACTGCTGATCCCAGTTAAGAGTGTGAGGAAATGTACATTTGACCGTCTGACGGGATAAAGATGTTCCGCTGTGTCAGTTGCAAGTAAAAAACTCGGTAAACCTCCGCTTCAACTACGTCCTCAAAACTGTTGGGTAGCAGGGTACACCCTGAAAAGAACACAGGGCCATCGCAGGGAGAGTAGGGTTGCTCATGCGTGAACAGTCTGTGTTTCGTTTTCTTGCAGGAGTGAGTAATTCGCGAAAGATTTTCAGAAATTTGGGATTTCAGCTCGAAGAATGAGGTTCAAAGTTTGTAGGAGTTGTAAAAAACCGATGTCCCAGAAACCCGTCGTAAGCTCAGAGGTGACAGGGCTTTCTCTGTCGCAGGTCCACGACTGTGGAATGAGTTGCCACTGAGTGTCCGGCAGGCTCCCACACTCTCAGTCTTTAAGTCTCGCTTGAAGACCCACTTCTATTCTCTTGCCTTTAACACGGTGTGATTTGTTTTGGTCCGGTCTGTTCTCTACTCTGTTGGCCATTTTAGTTAGCTTCTGCTGCTATTTGTATCTGTATTTCTATTTTATGTTTTCCTGTCCGCTGTGCATGTTTGTTTTCTTTTGTACAGCACTTTGGTTGGCCTTGTTGCTGTTTTAAGTGCTCTATAAATAAATTGGTATGGTAATGTTTGCAGCAATGGTCAGAGGTGGTTAGATACAGGTCGTCTTAAAACCACGATATGAGGTAAACTATTGCTGTTTGAAAACCTCCGTCTAGACGTCAGAGAGAGAGAGAGAACAGGCATCCAGTGGCAGAGCCTGAAGGAGAACGAAAAGGGCTCGACCGGGATTTGAACCCCGGACCTCTCGCACCCAAAGCGAGAATCATACCCCTAGACCAACAAGAAAATGGCCACAAGTTATATATGTGGCAGGATGTTTTCAGAGTAATATCTGGTCCGACAGCACCACCTGCTGGTCGCAGGTGAACTCAGCAGGCTTGTTGGTCTAGGGAAGATCCTCACTTTGGGTGGGAGAGGTCTACGGTTCAAATCCCAGACGAGTCCATCAACAACAACAGATCCCAGATGACCATCTGATGGGATGAAGATGTTTCTCTACAATAATTCACTGCACTAACTGCTAACTTTTTTTTATTATTATTGTTGGCGTTAAGACACATCCTGATCAAAAATAACACAATTATATTTTTTACATTAGAACTGGAGGCCAAAATATTGCCAACCAGAGGAAGTGAAATGCTGCAAAGTTTATTCCTAAGATGTTCAGGACCAAAAATTACAACCTCTGTCTTGTTTCATGGACAAATATAACTGTGTATCATCAGCATCCATCCATTATCTTTACCCGCTTCTTCCTTTTTGGGTTGCGGGGTTCACTAGTGCCCATGTCCAGCCATCACTGTGCAAGAGCTGGGATAACCCCTGGACAGGTCGCAAGTCCATTACAGAGGCCATGAGAATATCATTAGGATCTTTCACCAGTGCTATTCTGTGCTGTGATTATATTACATTATACTAAAACCACATGGGTCCCATATAATTTTTCCCATTTCTGTCCCATTTCCAGTTAGTTCATATAAAAATGGACTGGGGGCTTTAGATCCATGCCCAGGTTTAACCCATGTAAGGTCAGCCAGTATTTATACCACTTTTGTTTTCTCGTGCTTGGAAAGTTCATTTTTGTTGGGGGACTGCATGGCAGGCACCTATTATTCTACACCTCGGAAGTGAGTCTACATTTCTATCTCCGTTAATGCGGCCCGAACCACAATGTCTACCCCCACAAAAGTTATATCAAAACAACCGGCTCGGCCCTGTGATGTGTGCTATTACTTTTATTGGCAATTGGAGTTACCATGGCGACGTATTTTGCTATCAAAAACGCAATATTTCACCAACTCCGGGAACTAGTTGGTGACTGCCCACTTATTATTCTACACCTGATAAGCGTATCTTTTTCAACTTTAATGCGACCCGAACCACAACGTGGACCCCCACAAGTTATATCAA